CGCGCAAATCTTCAAGAACCATTTGCTGGAGCTGCATTGCTTTGGGTGCGTCAGTGGGGTCTCCATATTTGGAGCGGAATATATGGGCTAAGACCTTCGATGTAGCACGCTTCTTGTAATGTCTACGCGTCTCAGTTTCGCAAGTGTGGTCCAATTGACACTTCTTAATAGTGTAATAGCCGCAACTGGTGAGCTCTTTCGCGAAGATTCTCCAATCACAGTGAGGGTCATGGCAACTGAGGACAAATGAATGCCTGCTGGTTCTGGTTTGCCTGAAATAAAATTGTTCTTTGATGGCGTATATTGCGAGACCAATTTGGCAGTCTTCCTTTGAGGCATACAGTTTTCCAACACAAGGTTCGTCATCGTCTATATCCAAATCTGGGATGGTCTCAGCTTCATACAAAGTGTCGTCAAACAGGGGGGGGATGTCGAATTCCTCATCACTAATCTCTGATAGGGGACGGGTCTCACGGGCAGGTGGGGTTGGTGGATGGGGCAGGTCTAGCTGAGTGTAGGATGGGCGAGCTGTACTGGTGGAGCCAGACGATCGACGGTCAGGCGTACATGTACGAGTCTGTACGGGTGGAGGAGGTACATCATTTGACGATGAACGGACTTCAGGTTTAGAGTATGGTGGTAGTTCGCCTGAGACAATGACTGTGTGATCAAAAGCATTACCAGTGGTGCAGGGGGCGATATGGGGTGCAGTCTTTGGTACTGAGACCCCCACCATGAGCTCGGCAGCATCAGACCCACCAAGGTGATCGTCAATGAGGGGAGCCCAGAAGTCTTCGTCATAACCACGGGGTTGAACATCGTCAAAACCGGTAGGAATCGAAGTGTCGGACTGACTTTCATCGTCGTCGTCCGTTATCCAGCTGTCTGGTATGTTGTCGGGGTTGTCTGTAAACATTTTTTCGAGGAGCTCATCTCCGCATAAGAGGGTTTCGTCTGCAGTGACAAAGCGATGGGCTTGTGATGGAGCTCCGCTCCCTGGCGCAGTTGTTGTTTGTTGGGTATTGTTGTTGTGAAAAAGAGAAATAGGTGGGATCTGAGACACGGATGGTGAACGGTGTAGAGGTTGACCGCTAACCG